TATTACATGTTCTTAAGAAGCCAGACAGAGAACAAGTTTAGACTTGATAATAACAAATGTGTAAGGAAGCCAAAGAGAATGTTTTGTGAGTATTATTCTCCTCCCTGAGAAAGAATTTTCCCACATATCTAGAAGGAAATCAACATAGATTGGTCCAGCAAGCCAACATTATTTTGTTTTTCAGTTTTATTCAATATTAAAATATGCATGGTGTAAATTCTCCGATGATCTCTTCTACTTCCAGGGTTTCATTCAACTACTCAACAAATCCAAAATTAATCAACTTACCTACTCATCAACTCTAATGTTCCTCTTAAATTCTTTAAGAGATTTACCCTCTATGTAGTCACTTAAATGAAAAATTTTTAGTCATATTCCAAGCACAGCTCTGGTACCAGTGGCCAATAAATATTTCTCAAATATATGAAAGGGTAGATTTTCCATGTTTTCTATTCCTCTGCCTCTATTTAGTGGTTTATAAGTTCTATCCACTCTACTTTAAAAGGCTCCTTAAAAAAAAAAAATCCCTTTACTTGCTTGTATTGTTGCTACTTTAGTAGAGATGGGCCTACCTCTTACACCTTTGCTATGCAAACCACCTGCAACATAGATTTCATTATAGTGCAACTTGATTTAAAAATTTTGATTCCTCTCTTTGTCTGCAAGCGAAAATTCTAACTTTTCTTCCTGGCACTCCACAATTAGTAAACTCTTCATCTGCTGCTTCTCATGACTTATTAACTGAACTTTCCTTTAAAGCCATATTTCATTTTTGTCCTCCTGTGTAATTTGATGCCTCCATGCCTGTGATATATTATTTCCCATGCTGGAATGTTCTTCCCTCTATTCTCTAGGCTGCTTAGATCCTGTTCATTCTTTAGCTCCTGATCCAAACATCTGCCAAGCCTCTAATTGGAATTAATTTTTTATTCCTCAGCTTTCATGATTCTTTCTCTTCATACTTCTGTCTAGTTCTCAACCTGGTTTAAGTGTATTTTAATAATCTGTTCATGTATCTGCCTCTCTGGAGTCCTAAAAGCTCTTTCCCCCAACATTTTGATGCTGCCCAGTAAATGCTATAGAAAGTTTTTGAAATTGGCATTGAATTAAAGCCAGACATACATATTGAGAAACATACTTCTATTTCAGGAGTTAGATTTAACTCTCAATACTAAAGCTTTTCTAAGTCTTTCTAGTCTTTCTATTGACTTAGAAAATCTTTAGTATTGAGAAGAGGCTGAAAAATACTAAAACAATGTGATCCAGGAGGTCACATGGCCTTATATTTCCAAAAAAATCCGCTTTTCAGTGAACAGAAGCTCACTGAAAAATAAGACTTTTAGGAGAGAAGGAAACCCCCACCCCACTCCACAGCTACCAGTGTTCATGCTGCTGCTTCCCTTTTTCTTCAGATGGTTCAGAGCAGAAGCTGCTGCTTGGGCAGTCTTTCGGCTGATGGCATTCACTCTTTATTCCTTAACTCATTGGTCTTGTTTCTCTGATCTGGTCTTCCAGGTGTCATGAGAGTAGCTCTAAGAACCTCAGTGCTTAAGATGAGATAATGCCTTGCGGATGGGAAAAGGGGTGCCTTTGGAAATCTTTCATTTCATTCCAGTACCTCTGAGGGAATGCAAGCTTCCCTGGAATGTACTCACTGCCCTTCTCTTTTGGTTGTGTGTTTTCCTTTCTTAAAGGAGGGAGATTGGAGAGGCTCAAGTGGTCTGTCTGGTTTACTCCACACGCCCCCAAGGGCTGTATTGCCATAGTCCCCTGTAGGCTGTGCTGATAGGCTGGGAGGCTGTGGTGGGAGCTTGGTGTATGCGAATTTTAACCATACATGGTTAAAGCTCCTTGGTAGTTCAAAGAAAGCTGCTCTTCAGGTTTGCTTTCACTTAGTGAAGGTGCATTTTATTTAATTAGATGGAAATTATCAGAAAGTAAAGCAGCCAATCCCTATCTCAGTCTCTCCGCAGATTTACCACATAAGAAGGTAGTAATTACACTTACCTAACCAGTGCTAATAGGCTCTGGCCCAACAGAGAGATCTTTTTTCTTTTAACTTTTTATAAAAACAATTATAAATATATATACTAATTAG